GTATGATTTACACTCTCAAAGTAAAAAGGATGATTTCATTTTTTCGTTTATTACTCTTAAATTAAAGGAGATAGAAAAAATCTTTCGAATAAAAGTTTAATGGTAAGTTAAGTGTTGTAAATTGACATAAGCATAAATAAAAAAATATCTTTTTTATTGAAAAAAAAATGTTTATAAGTATTTTTTTATTTATGCTTATGTCAATTTACAGCACTTAACATACTATTAAACTTTTATTCGAAAACTTTTTTTCTATCTCCTTTAATTTAAGAGTAATACACGAAAAAGTGGAATCCTTTTTACTTTGAGAGTGTAAATCATACCTTTAAATAGTGATAGGGCACAAATGGAATGTATTGTTATTCATGTATTGATTTACTTTACATACTCACAAAAGTGTAGCGAAATCAAAGAGTCCGGGTTTGCGGTATTCCCTTGTCAATCGAACTGAGACGTGCTACATGAAACGTGTTATGCACCTCGCACTCGTGATCCTCGCGCTACGATCGTCTCAAACGGTTACAGCATCCTGGAATTTCAAGGATGACAATTACTTTTAGTTTTTAGTTAGTTTAAAAGAGAAATATATCTGTCCTTAGTCTCCTTTTTCCTGATACGTCAACATCTATCGACATAACTAATCGGGAAATTCACCTTTTGTTTCAGACATGTCAAAGCTCATGGTAGGTGTAGCTTCCGGGGGTGCAGTTTAGGCGAACGCGAATGCCGCACCGGAGGATCCGGTTCGGGCCGAGCAGGGTCAGCTTGAAGGTGGGTTTACGGACTTACCGCGCTTTTAACTCTTTACGATCGAAAGTAGGAACATAGTCGGAATTAAAATCGTCGAGTTACAAGAGTCGCAAAGGATTAAACGCGCTCGTATTTATGCGCATTTTTGTCGTTAAACCGTTGGCTCCCTTTCTCCTCCTCTCTGTCTCTCTCCCTCTCCCTCTCTCTCTCTCTCTCTCTCTCTCTCTCTCTCGTGTCTAATGGGCGAAACTAAATTTTTTGTTCCAGATCTGTAGCGGAACGTGGCTGGTCCTGAGTTTCTGCACTTCGGTAAGTCAAAACAATGGGTGAAAAACTAAAGGTGATGGCTGTTTGTAGAATTACATCGAAATCAATGTGATTTACTTAATTTGAATGTGATTTACTGTAATTTACGTTGATTTTTTTGTTTTTGTGTCCGTCATAATACACTTTCTTTCTCAAGAGAATATTTCTTTCTGAAGAGAAATGCTTATTCTTCATATCTTTTCAATTTCTTAAACTTTAGTACGCTATTTACAATAATATCTTGACACTTATTACATTCAATTGAAGATACCAAACTGTGGGCGAACTGTTCACTTAATACAATCCTCCAGTTGTTTCTAGCAGTGTAAAATGCCTACTGAAATTCCGCTATTTCACGTGGAAATCACGATTGCTTCGCGCACAATAAATTTCCCGATCAACGCTGTCGTAGATTTCTTAAATGTCTTATACACTACGGATTACGATGTCACTTAAATCAAAATTATCACGAAATTTAATGTATGTATGTATATTTTTTTTCAAATCAGGATTCTCGCGATTTACGTTTTCTGGCAAAGCATAATCGTTCACGAGACGAACAATTTTCCTGTTCTCTCTCGAGCTCGTTGAAAGCACTTTCGTCGATCTTCGGCTCGTGATTTTTTACGCGCGATTAGCGACTCGGAAGTATAATCTCTCAAAGCACTAAATTTATCGCGTACTTCTCGTTAAACCGTTGAGCGCTGTAAAAAATTATCGCCGATGCGCGTACGGTGCAGTGAAGTGTGCAAAGTGTCATCGACGGAAGTGGGACAACGACGGCTGGATGCTGAGCAGGCTGGATGCAGAGCGACGTAGCGTGGACTTGGACGTTGCTGAGCATCAACGTGAAATAGTGAGTGTGCAATTCACACGCTCACAAAGCGTAATATCGCGTGTGTGCATGCAAATCGCATTGATGAGAGAAGGTAGCACAATAGACAATAAGAAATGAAATAACTACAGTCGCAATAAATGATTATAATCCTGAGATAAATGAGAATAAATAACACAATGCCCATGTTCGTCCACACTTTTGCGGAGCTCGTCAGTATTCTCTGCGGTATTAAAGTTGCGATATCAGTTTGCGCGCGGCGTTACGACATGACGAGAGTGAGTTCGCGCTTCGATATATTCAGGTTTTACGAAATATCAGAGAGAGAGAGAGAGAGAGAGAGAGAGAGAGAGGGAGGGAGGGAGAGAAAGCACCGGCTTTCTAGGTGGATATTATAATGGCACTCTGCCCGCCACGGCGGTCGTTCGGGGCCGAGAGGGTGTCGTGGAAATTATATCGGGAGAAGTGCAACAGGATGTCCACGGGTTAATGACGGTAATCGTGGCATGCGGCTATAATGTCTTTGTTTGAGGGCTCCGCGGAACACTGAGAACGAAGACACGACGATGTAGAGGTGGAGATCGCCGAACCGCCTACGATACTCCATCATTACTTCCGTAATAAGCAATTTCTTGAAATTATCCACTGAAAATATTATCATTACCCTACGAATTGATCTGATGTAATCAGATGACTTTGCTAATTGTTCAGTAGCGTTTTATTGTTTGAAATTTCCATTCGACTGCGAGTCGTGGAGTAACTTTAAAGAAACGAGATTTCGAGTAAAAGAAAAATTTCTCAGAGGCAATCGAAAGAGAAACATTCATCCCTCCAACATCGCGCGAATATCATCGTTAAACGGGAGGTAAATGATAGTACTGAGTAACGTCAACGAGAGTATACTTTAAGACAGATATTCTCAACGAAATGCGATATTATTATAAACGCGTCAATGTAAAACCTGACTGACTGAGTCAATAATTATAACTTTTTTCTTGTTATTTATCTCTCTATAGTTATATGATATAGTTATATAATTATCTATATCAATTTATTTTTTCACGCCGACTTCTAATGTCGTTGGAATATTGGAATAGGACTGTAAGTACGCAGGAATATTGAGACAAAATTATTTCACTTCTTAAAGCTTTTGATATTTTTGAGGGTAGTTCATTTTTGTTGAAAAGATTTTTAATTTCATACTTTTTGAGGATTTACTAAAAGTTTGTTTCCGAAATCGCTCAAAAATAAAAGTTTTGTTTTGTTGTGTCTTTAAATGTTCTCGGATTTTCAAGAACTCATGAAAGTTATTTGACTTCTAAGAACCAATAATCCAAAAATCATATTACATGTTGATTACATATTGAACAAATTACATATTGAACAAATTACATAAAATTTTATCTCAATATCTGTGATAGTCCTCGAATTATGAAGAAACATACATACAAACAAACAAACGAACAAACATGTAGAACGAACTGAAAACTCCCTTGCTTTAAGAGGATACTGGAGTCGATAACAAACTCGAACAATGTCAATAATGTAGAGACGATCGTCATATAATCACGCTATCCCTCTCGTATTTCTTGTATATATATATACAGAATTTACATGAATGTGTGTTGCTTTGTTTTATCATATTTAACGGAAAACCTAATCATATATGTGTAGAAATCTTTCTGCAAACTTTGTCGATATTCTTAAGCTTCCGAATACAAATGCGAAGATAGAGCAATGTTCTTCAAAATTTTTCTGTTTGGAGCATCCATACTTTCGGTACATACAAGGGGAATTTTTGGATAGGCAAATATTACGCTGATAGCTTGAGATTTTTTTTTACATTAAAAATTTCTTGTTCGTTTCGTCACATATCGAACAATGCTCCTATTTATTTTTGCACGTACTTTCATTACGTAAAAGCATTTGTAATTCTGTGTAACCAATACGTCGTAAACTTTGCAGAAAAATGCCCGTGTTCTATCGGTGAAGTTTTCAACTTCAGCATCCCTTTAAGCGAGTCGATGTTAATAATAAATGCAATAGACGCCGCGACAAGCACTGGCTGTGTATCGAAAATCAAGGGGATTGCTTTCTCATAACGTACTCACGATACATCCCGACGATCGCACATCGCTATTTCGGCACTCCCGATACTTATTTCCGCGCCAGACTCACTTTCGATAGATAAAAGATGCGTAAAACGCGGAGCGATGTCGATCGCGATGTGTCAGTGGAGGTTGTTCGTCGCGAAAAGATCGATATCCAAGATGGTCGCGCAATCACCGACGCAGTGCCAAAAATGCGCGCCAAAACGTGAACGATGTCGCGGTTCGACAAGGACGCGCTCTAGTAGCTACGCCTTTCTCACTCTCGCTGACGGACCAACCGCGCGAGATCCGACGTCGCGTATATCCCTAGCGTCGTTTTGTCTTTCTCTTTTCCTCGGATTATCATCCCGATTCTGATTCCTCGTTAATAAATCCGACGATCGTCCGATTCTACTACTACTTGAGCGAGTTGATGTTAATAAGAAATGTAATAGACGCCGCGACAAGAGTTGGCTATGTGTATCGAAAATCAAGAGAATTGCTTTCTTATAACGTACTCACGATACATCCCGACGATCGCACATCGCTATTTCGGCACTCCCGATACTTATTTCCGCGCCAAACTCACTTTCGATAGATAAAAGATGCGTAAAACGCGGAGCGATGTCGATCGCGATGTGTCAGTGGAGGCTGTTCGTCGCGAAAAGATCGATATCCAAGATGGTCGCGCAATCACCGACGCAGTGCCAAAAATGCGCGCCAAAACGTGAACGATGTCGCGGTTCGACAAGGACGCGCTCTAGTAGCTACGCCTTTCTCACTCTCGCTGACGGACCAACCGCGCGAGATCCGACGTCGCGTATATCCCTAGCGTCGTTTTGTCTTTCTCTTTTCCTCGGATTATCATCCCGATTCTGATTCCTCGTTAATAAATCCGACGATCGTCCGATTCTACTACTACTTGAGCGAGTTGATGTTAATAAGAAATGTAATAGACGCCGCGACAAGAGTTGGCTATGTGTATCGAAAATCAAGAGAATTGCTTTCTTATAACGTACTCACGATACATCCCGACGATCGCACATCGCTATTTCGGCACTCCCGATACTTATTTCCGCGCCAAACTCACTTTCGATAGATAAAAGATGCGTAAAACGCGGAGCGATGTCGATCGCGATGTGTCAGTGGAGGCTGTTCGTCGCGAAAAGATCGATATCCAAGATGGTCGCGCAATCACCGACGCAGTGCCAAAAATGCGCGCCAAAACGTGAACGATGTCGCGGTTCGACAAGGACGCGCTCTAGTAGCTACGCCTCTCTCACTCTCGCTGACGGACCGACCGCGCGAGATCCGACGTCGCGTGTATCTCTAGCGTCGTTTTGTCTTTCTCTTTTCCTCGGATTATCATCCTGATTTTGACTCCTCGTTAATAAATCCGACGATCATCCGATTCTACTACTACTTGAGCGAGTTGATGTTAATGAGAAATGTAATAGACGCCGCGACAAGCGTTGGCTATGTGTATCGAAAATCAAGGGAATTGCTTTCTTATAACGTACTCACGATACATCCCGACGATCGCATATCGCTATTTCGGCACTCCCGATACTTATTTCCACGCCAGACACACTTTCGATAGATAAAAGATGCGTAAAGCGCGGAGCGATGTCGATCGTGATGTGTCAATGGAAGCTGCTTGTCGCGAAAAGATCAATGTACAAAACGGCCAGGCAATCGACGACGCAAAGTACCGAAAGTGTGCACACGAAAGTATGCGGCGTGTACGGTGGCGCGCTTTTATGCCGTCCTATCAGATCAGTGGCGGCTCCGCGATGCTACTCGATAGATCGATAGTTACTAGACTTTCCGACCAGTGATGCGATTCTGTAACTTCTAACGACAGCATCGTTATCGTTATGGGTTTTCTACAATAAGCCATTAATCATAAGCTACAAGCAAATTAACCAATCACAGTGAATTATTTTCAAAAATAATCGACTATGATTGGTCAACTTGCCTACTTATACAGGATTTACACCGCGTCCGATGTACGACGTCCGATATCCAATAAGAGAACAGCTTTCCAATGGAGAGTTGAATTCTCTATTAGAAAGCTATTTTCTATTGGATATCGCACGTCGTACGTCAAACGCGGGGTGAATCCTGCATTACTTATGACAAATATCTTATTGTAGAAAGCCCATGAGGCTTGTATATTATATATATCGTACAACAAGCTTGTCGGACGCAGTCGAATAGAGAATATCTGAAGTATATGGAAAAAAAGTTAGGGACCTTTTAGAGGAGAATTTTATCCATTAGTCAATCAACACGTCCGGTAATACTTGTACGACACATGCAATATTTGACTTACATTGTCATTGCACAGCTATATCGGCCTTCTACAATAAGCCATTAGTCATAAATCACAAGCAAATTAACCAATCACAGTCGATTATTTTCAAAAATAATCGACTATGGTTGGTCAACTTGCGTACTTATGACTATTATCTTATGATCAATGTCTTAGGGCCGATTGTTCCAACTTCTTGGTATAAGCTAAGCTGACAATTAAAGAAAACTTCATTTTTTCTTTAAATTAGAGACAGACACATGATTTAACTGTTAGGTAGCTTACCAAGAGTTTGGAACAATCGGCCCTTATTATAGGAAGCCTATAATATATGATAGAAAAACTACGCAATGACATGCCATGGTAGTGACATTGTCGTTAAAATGTTATAGAATAACTGCAAAATCGCATGCATATTTAGCTGCACATTGCTCACGACTGTTGATTAGAAAGCGAGAACTTAATTCTATGATAAGGCCGAGAACGCATAGAAAAATTTAAACAGTAAGACGTAAGTGATAACTAATAGATTAATCACAGTCGCTGATCCTTGAACCATAAAAAGAATCTTCGACTTTCATTGGTCAATCTGTTTATTGCTTACATTTACTGCTTCAGTTTTTTTTATAACGCCTCCGGCGTTACTGTCGAATTAAATCATACGTTCTTATTTTCTGGATAAAGTAACAGTTGTAAGCAATGCACAGCTAAATACGAATGCGACTCTGATCGAGAAGTTTTAGTAACTATTGATCTATCGAGTGGTAAGGCATCGACGAGAGGACGCCGTACGAGCGCGCTACCGTACACGCCGCAGTGTACACTTTCGGCACTTTGCGTCGTCGATTGCGTGCCGTCTTGTACATCGATCTTTTCGTGACAAGCAGCTTCCACTGACATATCGCGATCGATATCGCTCCGCGTTTTACGCATCTTTTATCTATCGAAAGTGAGTCTAGCGTGGAAATAAGTATCGGGAGTGCCGAAATAGCGATGTGCGATCGTCGGGATGTAACGTGAGTACGTTATAAGAAAGCAATCCCCTTGATTTTCGATACACACAGCCAATGCTTGTCGCGGCGTCTATTGCATTTCTCATTAACATCGATTCGCTCAAGTAGTAGTAGAATCGGACGATCGTCAGATTTATTAACGAGGAGTTAGAATCGGAATGATAATCCGAGGAAAAGAGAAAGACAAAACGACGTTAGAGACATACGCGACGTCGGATCTCGCGCGATCGGTCCGTCAGTGAGAGTGAGAGAGGCGTAGCTACTAGAGCGCGTCCTTCTTGAACCGCGACATCGTTTACGTTTTCGCGCGCACTTTCGGCACTGCGTCGGTGATTGCGTGGCCATCTTAGATATCGATCTTTTCGCGACGAGCAATCTCCACTGATACATCGTGATCGACATCGCATTCTACACATCTTTTATCTATCGAAAATGTGTCTAGCGCGGAAATAAGTATCGAGAGTGCCGAAATAGCGATGTGCGATCGTTGGAATGTATCGTGAATACGTTATTAGAAAGCAATCCCTTTGATTTTCGATATACAGCCGGCACTTGTCGTGGCGTCTATTGCACTTCTCATTAACATCGACTCGCTTAAGAGACTCGCTGAAGCTGAAAACTTTACCCACAGAACACTGACATTTTTCTACAAAGTTTACATCATATTGATTACGTAGAATTACAAATGCTTTTACGCAATGAAAATATATACAAAAATAAATAGGAGCATTGTTCGATATGTGACGAAAACGAACAAAAATATTTTTATGTAAAATCTCAAGCTATCAGTTAGCGTAATATTTGCCTAATCTAAAAGTTGTGCATACAACTTGTACATACCGATAATTTAAAATTTGAGCTGTCAGTTAGTGCGATAGTTGTTTAATACAAATATAATAATTTCAAAGAACACTACTGCACTTTCAGAATTTAGTCTCTATGCCAAAGAAGATATGAAATGTTTACAGAAATATTTATGATTACATGCGGTTGGTTTTCCGACAACTGCAACAAAGTAGAGCGAAAAATTAGTTCACAGATATTTTCAAGATGGCACCGTATTTTTATCACACTTTTCACAACGTCCAAATATTCAGAGAGTATACCCTATGATCAGAAAGTACCGGGAATTTTTTATTTAAACGTACCGCGCATGCGGGAACCGGTTTATTTTTTTTTCTTATGTTGGTACGACCTTAAGACGCACATCTGTCAGGTTTTAGTGCCATCCAATCATTAGTGTCTGCCTGGCGTTTGTTTACATCAGTCAACTTTTTTCAATTTGTCGCATTTTACCATGGATAATGTTGTTGAACAAAGAGTTTGTTTGAAATTTTGTGTTGCGAACGAAATTTCGTGTGCCGATGCACTGAAAATGTTGCAAAAAGCATTTTGCGAAT